TCCAGCGATGCAGTGGAGTGCACCATTCCACTGAGAGCCTTATTTTAGGAAGGGTTTGAACAAGAGGATTAGAGACAGTTGGAAACCATACATGGAGCTAAATGTAAAATTACAGTTTTTTTTTAATATCAAATATCCTGTATCAAACACATTGTCTCATCACCTATAAATGTCAAGCATACAAGAATAAAAACTATTCTTGTAGTGGGTAGTGTGAGCCTCGTCTTCTTGACTAAAATTAGGAAAGGCAACACTCCCCTGCCCCCAAATTAGTCAAATAGATAAGTAATAGTGCTGTTTTTATAGGGTCACACTGTCAGAGACTCATCACAGAAAACTGATGCTAACARGTGCTTCCCAACCTATGAAAGCAGTGCCAGGATGGGAAGAGCTTGAGAGGCAAAGTCCACATGGATAGATCTCCAAGAACTAAAGATTTTAGAGATTACTGCCGGTGGCTTCCTGTGTACAGCAGTGCAATGATGTTACTGATTCTTTCAGTCCTGTACCCAGACAGGTACTCTGAGCCTCGTGAGTTCTCAGCCCTGAGTGTTTCCAGTCTGGAAATCAGCACTACACATCAGTACCACTCTCATCTTTTGAAAACAACAAAACACCTGCAAACACCAGAATATCAGTGACAAAATCCCAGCAAAATCCCCAAGGATCTAATGCCCACGTTCCCAAAGGAGACACAAAGTTAAAATGAAAGYCTGCATATTTTATTTTTCTTCTGATACCCCGGCACAAATAAAAGCAAATAAAGTACTTTGAATCYGACCCTGAAAGTGCTGACTAATTAGGATTTGTGCTATATGCCTCATATTTGCCTCCATGCAGTTCACTGCTCCATTGCAATAAGCTCTGAATATGCACAGACACACCTGCTCATKCTTTCTAGTATCTCCTGCAAGGGTTTGTATTTTAAATTGAGGAGCCAGACAATGCTCAAGGGAAGAAGTGTCACATTTTACAGATGGGGAACTGTGATACAGGCTGCTGCATTTCTAAGTAGCTTTCTGAATATGGATATTTGCATATTTGTTCAGAACATCTGCGACTTAAAGTTTACAAGGCTTTTTAGGACTCTGAATATCATACATAACCCTTTCCCCACAGTATCTCTCTTCTCTTTGATTCTTCATTGCCCTCAAGAAAATATTTCAAGACACTTTTGAGTAGAGGGAATGCTCTGTGATCATGGACTGAAATGTACAGGCCCTGTCACCGAGACTACCAAACAGGATGGATCATTTCATGGTGCACTGAGAGGTTCTTCTTGTAGACAATATTCATGTGATGTTTTGTAAAATTTTWACCACATAGCTTATCATCTCTCCTCAGCAGACTTGCTGTCTGTCTGAAAGGCTGTTTTTTACTTCCTTACCTCTGAGCATTTCTTACAGGTTGGAACAAGAGAGTAAAGTCCTAGAAGTTATCGCTGACCTGAATTACAGGTGAAATGTAATGAGTTCAGAGTCCTACCCTTCCTTACCAGCAGCTCAAGATGGCAGCTACTAACATTTGCTACTGGGGTATTAGTGTCAGTCGAGTTTGGGATAGCAGATTTCTCTTTTCATGCTTCACATTCTTGTCACTTGAAGATTGAATCATAAGGCCATGCTGCATCCCTGCTGCGAACAGAAGCGCCCTCTCCTGTGCAAAGGTTCATTTTGCAGGGAAAGAGGGAGCGCAGTGCCACACAAACCACCCCAGCAGGCACTGGAAGAGATGGAGAGGACTGGTGGGTACCAAATCCTCTAGACACTGGTTGCAGAAGACATTCTGGGAGATGCAGCTTTGGGGATGCTGACACCCATATGCTTCCCAGCATGCCAATGAGGTTAAAAAATTATTGCATCTCTCTGATGCAATCCCCCCACCCTTATTTGCTACTCTTAGTTTGTGCTGGTTTGAAAATAAGATGAACATCCCAAACTGTYAGGGAACTTTGGCATCATTTCACTGTATAGAGGAAGTTCCCTAAAAGACCTGTGCCACAGCATGAGCTGTAGAATGACGATATCCTCACTAAGAAAAGCCATTTGGTTGTGGATGCTTTTGAAAGCCTGGTTCTGAGTTAGATTTCATCACTCCCTACCCAGCAGAAATTTGACATTAGGTTGTACATTTGAGCAGCTACAATATCACCAGCTGCAGAAGAAACTTGTCATACATGGAGAATCTGAGTTCTTCCCTATGGGGTTTTGCCTGCTTTGGAGCAAAATTGTAGCAATACTCTTGAGGCAAAATTTAATACAGAACATGAAAGCATCTCTTAGAATAGATTTTTATAAGCCAGTTACCCAAAACATTTACTTAAAAAAATTGCAGTCTTCAGAGATAACTTAAAATCAAYGAATAAGCAAACAAATCACATCTATTTTCTGCAAAAACTAGCTTGGCCAGCTCTAGTTCATAGCCAGAAATTATTCACTTCATTTTTTACAGTCATACTTAAAATAATCAGCAACTTATCTCCCAGGTACATTATAAATGTCTGAGACATATGTAAAAATAAAATAATGTTTTATTTATTCATTAGCCCACTCTTCTTTAAATCAAATAATGGAAGTTATACCTGAGTAAACACTGAGTACAAAGGAGAGTGAAATTTTCTAATTCCACCCCCTTCCACTAGTGAGCAGCTTACCTGCTCTGAGCTTTATGTGTGGAGACTTGGCCATCTAAAGACCAAATTTGGAGGCACGGCCTAGGTTTAGTTCTGTACTCTCTCTGTCTCATCTTATAGCTTGAGCTGAGCTGGGGAAGTCAGGAACCACATCCGTTTTGGGAGCTGCAGATCTGATGTGGCAGGTGAACTGTTCTTCACAGCACGAGGCAGTCCCTGCGGGCTCACTGGTGGTGTCTCTGCAGGAGGAACAGATGGAAGGACCCACACAATCAATGCAGYCCTCAGATCTGCTCTGGACTGAGAAGTGTCCTTTGCTGTGTATCTCACACGTGTACCAATGCTGACACCTTTCCTTTGCGTGGGTGGCACAGTCAGATCCTGTCTGACAAAAYAGATCGTGTGTTTGAATTATCAGATAAGAAACAGTCACTTTATCTGATGGGATATTTTAACAACGTGGAATRTTTCTTGATGCCCTCACTCAGCCACAAAGCTGCTTCTCTGTTTATCCAAAGAAGTCAGARTCTGCAGTTTTCCCCTGTGGTTACATTTCTTGGTACAAGGCCCCTAACTCCTTCAGTAATCTATCACAGAATATTTTCRTTTGGAAAGAACTTTTGGAGCTTATCTAGGTAAATTTCCTAGATAAATTTAGATTTCCTAGGTAAAGGAAGTATTTGTCAGTTCTAAAGCTTTTAGTTCAGAGTGTTTCAGAACAAAGAAACTCCACAGAATTTCCCTGAGAAATGCATAATGATATAGTAATTTAGAACAGCATGCAAATCCAGTGAGGTAAAAGAATGCAGCTGTTGCATCAGATCGTGACAATCCCTGTCCCCTGCATCTGTGGCACKGGGCTCCAATGTTGGTTCATGGAGTCATAAAATATCCTGAGTTGGAAGGAGTCRGAATTGATGGAAGGATCATCAATTCCGACTCCTGACCCTGCACAGGACACCCAAGCATCGCACTGTGGGCCTGAGAGGTTTGTCYCAATGCTTCTTGAGCTCTGTCAGGTTTAGTGCTGTGAGMACTTCCCTGGRGAGCTGTTCCAGTGCCCAACCACCCTCTAGAACCTTTTTCTAACATCTAACCTAAGGCTCCTCTGACTCAGCTTCAGGACAATCCCATCCCTCRACCCTCACTTTTATCAGAGGAAGAGCATTAGAGAGGCTTCAATTCGTTGAGGTCGGTATCCAACTTGCATCCATTTCAATCAGTTCAGAAGCCTGTACCTCTGGTTTCCTCTAAATTCACTATTATTCTTCAGAGTCTGCAATCAGACTATGAAAATCCTGAGGCCAGGGCGGTTTGCATGTGCGTCTTCAGAGGTGAATCCCCCGGGCTCTGGCTGGCAGGGGCTCTGATGAGCCRTGTTCTGCTGCTGAGGAATTCTTTAGCAACAAAAAGTTACAGATATTCAGCACTTTGCAGGTTCCTCCTTGATACCGTGGAGATTCTGGTCTGTGGGACATGTATGAAAATAGAAATCTAGAATTTGTTAATTAGCAAYACAACAGAATTTCACATTTTTCCAAGAAACAACCTCCAATTTAGTATTATGTGGACTACTTTTGAGGACAAAACCATTTCACAGATAAATTCCAGAGGATTCATTAAATAATTAAAAAAATAAAATATGTAATAAATATATATAAATTGAGAATATATAACTTTGGCATAATGGTTCTTTCCAAAAGCACAAGAATACATAAGAATAAAGCATAATATAYAGAAGTATCTATGGCGATTTTAAGATATTAAAAAGTATTGTATTTACATTAAGGCTGGTTAATACTAATTCAATGCAGAAATGTGAACATCAATAACAATTTCAATGTATCACAGGAATATAACAGTAAAAATGAAATGGAATGATGCTGTGAAACACTCTACAGACTCATACTCAGATTATTCATGATCTCTGTTGAACCACATGCAAATATGAAGTTGCTTAGATAAACATTGCCAGACTTGTATCATTCTTACTCTTTAAATTCTTGTTTGAAGGCACAAGGAACTCCCATCAATAAGTTATTCATAATAAAAGCAGCAGCAGCAACAATGAAATTTGCCCCAATGTGGCCTCCTGTATGTGCCTCCAGCGTGTCCGAGGGAGTTCCCAGCTGTGGGAGGAAGGACTGTGCTCTCCAGATTGCCATCCCTCCTATCTGTGAGCCTATCCATATCTTCTACAGACTCCYACACAGTAAAAGTGGGATCATACCAAAAGGGAAGTGTTAGCTTAGTCAGAAAAAACCCACGAGTTCAACAAACGTTTGGAGATGGCATAAAAGCAGTCCCTGACTCCACCTGGAAATGTACACATTTTCTACATATTTCAGTACAATCTAGACTTGCAAGTAAAATTTACTAACTGTAAACTTTCAAGCATTAGAACTTTACATTTTAATTATTTCAGGGCAGTGCAGGATCTTGACTAATGCAGCAGCAGTACTGTTGGTCTGTGTTACCAGGCYGTTGTTTTGCTCTCTGATTCTCCTGGAATGGGCAATGCAGCTAAAGTCACACACTGAAGTATGAGGAAATTGTTCAAGCTTCTTGCTGAAAGATGTACTCCTTTTTAATATTTTCCACTGGTTAACCACAAATGTTAACAGCAGAGTACTGAGAATCAGAACATGTACCTTCCCAAGAAGCAAACTTTTCAACCATAAGAACCGTAACAATAGAGCCTTGCTCTCCTCAGCAGTGCTTTTTAAAATTTTAGAAGATTTTTTTTTATCTCAGAAGATAAAACTGGTTTTATTTCATGTGAGAAAAAGAGTCCAAAAAATAAGCTTTTTAGGTCTCAATTTGAGTCAAAGTAAATTATTTAGTTTGTTCCATACATCCTTAGCAAAGCAGTATTTTCACCAGTGATACTGGTGGGCAAAGTTTATTGTATGAGACAAACAGAAATGTGAATTATTGCTCCCACCACGTCCTCAAGGAGCTGCTGRTCCATGCAGGACATGCAAGATGATGTCAGTGTGTAAAGACTTGTGTTCTGCAGCTGGCATTGGGAATTTCTTATTTGTTACAGCTGCTACCAGCTAGCTGTCACCTTGCTGGTCTCTGCCACTAACACAGGCCTTCTGAATGTCAGATGAATCTGTTATTTCTTTGTTGTCATKTCTTTGGCCCCCTTCCTCTGATTCCTTTGGTGTTTCCAATTTTCTGCTGTCAGTCTTGTGATTACTGGATGAATTTAGCTTGGATGAGTTCTGTCTCCACCTTTTCAGGCTCCTGTAACTGTCTTTTCTGACGTTTTCACTGATCAGCACGTAGATGATTGGATCGGCAACAGCGTTTGCRGTGCCTAAACACAGAAACACTGTAGAAATTGAATATATCCCCTTTTCAAATGGACATGGGCAGTTCTGATGAAACATGAAGTATATGGCTCTTATGAGGAGCACAACATGGTATGGAGCAAAACAGACCAAGAAAATAACAATAATGGCAATAGCCACATACTTCACTTTGTTTTTTTGGCAACGGGTCAAGCTGCTGCTTCTTTTTGTAGTTTGGAAAATTCTGTAGTTTGTAAAAACGAGGATTATGAAGGGTATGACAAATCCAAATAGGAATCTAACAATGCTGTAAGAAGCCAATTTTATGTCGAGGGGCACTGTCTCAAAGCAGGTTGGAACATTTGTATATTCTTTCTCATCTTTGATAAATACAGGAGTGTGGATTACTGCGACCGCAGCAAAGAGAAAGCAGACTATTATGGCAGCCTTTTTCTGTCCTCTTCTCCCCCTTGATTCCAGAGAAWACACCAGGGCCACATAACGATCCACAGAGATGCAGCACAAAAGCAGAATGCTGATGTAGATATTGCAGAAGAAGATGAATCCTGTTATTCTGCAAGCAGTTTCACCCATGGTCCATTTGTGCTTGTTTTGCACGTAGGTAATCCATAAAGGCAAGGTACTTAAATACATCAGGTCGCACAATGATAAACTGAAAATGTAGACAGCAACTACGTTTTTCCTTTGGATTTGTACAAATGCAAGCAGAGAAGTTAAGAAGTTTGCTGGAAGGCCTATAGCAAAAACAATGCTGTAAACAGCAACCAGAGGGGTCTGGCTCACTTYGTAGGGAATTCCTAGGCAAGTGGAGTTAATTGTGCCATTTGTGACACCACAATCTTCCATTTTTTTTTTTTTCCCAGCTGGTGTTTCCTGAGAATCAGAAGACAAGGTGGAAAGTTAGCATTGCATCACTTAAAAATGTGTCAGTAAAAGTTATGGTCCCAYTGGTGCCAACTTGACATGTCAGGGGAGCAAGTGGGATGGGGGAATGTTTGAGAGGTGCCCCCTCAGACAGAGGGATGTCTAAGCATCAAATTGTAATTCAAATGAAAACCAATAATAATTACTCGGCTGAAAAAACTATACACCATTTTCTGCTAATATTTGTGATGATCAGTTTTGGTCTGAACACCAGAACTCAAGAGATTTATCACCCTGCAATTTTCAAGCTTTTATAAAGAATCAAATGTAGCATTGATGGCAAAGATGAGCAATATCCAGGAATGAATTTGTCAGATACAAACTGCTCCAATGAGTTTTGTTTGCTGCCCTGTAGTTTTGAGTTGAGCAAAGCCTCTCCAAAGTACTGTTTTCATTTTTCTGTGGCCTATCCTGATATTCTAGATCTCACCAACCATGCCTGGGTGTTACAGCAGGCTCTGGCTGTGTCTTGCATCAACAGCTCAATGTATTTTCATCAGCATTCTGAGGCTTCTCGCTCTGTGGGAGTCACTGCACGTGACAAACCACAATTACCGTGTGCATGTTTCTCACCTTCAAGATGTGCAAAATATCTCATCTTCCAGGACAGAGATACTGCCTCTGGCTTGGGCAGAGGTGCACAAATCACTCGAAGATGAGGTAATCTGCTCAGATTTGCTGCATGCCTGCTCTGTATTTACACTCTTCCATTTCTAATATTCTGGTGTTGTGCYCACACTGTTAGACAAATAGATAATTACATTTCTTACTCCTAAAATGGAGTGGCTCCTGCTGCTCATTTGTGCCTAAATGTTGTGTGTGTAATCTTTTCTGAAAAAAMAAAGTCTTTTCAGCAATGCTGAAGTCTAAGAAAAGGGAAGTGAAAACAAGCGGGAAAGCAAAAGGCTTTACTTTGCCTGTTTTTTTTAAGTTTGTCTTTGAACAGCTCATGTGAAACTGAACTTCCAAAGGAGAAGCTGGAGTGACAAAAATAACCMCTATTAGGGAAAGTAAAAGAAAATTACAGATATGGCTACCAGGAAGAGAAGGACAAGTGAAAAAAGGCACAATAGTTGAACAGAGATTGGGTGAAATTAATTCACCTGGGATACAGAGAGACAGAAGAGAAAAAAGACACAGTGAAATCCATAATATGAGTACAATTATATGAGCAAAGCACATTAATGAATATATTCTTTTMTTTTTTAATATTTTTCTGATCATCCATCTATGCCAAGGATTATTGTTACAGCTCAAAGTTTTGWGGCTTTTATATGGATATTAAGAATTATTTTAAATAATCTCTATGATAGTTAAAATTAAAACTAATCTTTTCATTCACGCTTTTCTTCCTGTCCCCAATAACTGCAGAGGAAAACAACCTGCGTGTCTTAAAGCATAAATCAGTGAAAGAGGACCTGAGTTTTTTTCTGAGGGATTTTGTGTGCTTTCCTGAGCAGAATGTGGTGCTGGGACTATTTGACACCAGGGTGCTGCGGGATGTCAGGTGGACACATAAATGTAATACCGAAAGACATCAGTTCCCTGGTGTGACATTTGTGCCGCCCACAGTGCTCGCCACCAGCAATGTCACTCCTCCGACGTCTGAGCCCAGGCTTCTCCTTCTCATGCAGAACTTACCCTGCCTGACTGYAAATTCTCAACTAATAAACTTTTGTGTCTCTTAACTTGACAGGAATGTAAGAAATTGCTGTGGATTGTTTGCTCTGCTGTTCTTGAAAGTAGGAAAAATGTTTATGGTGCCTTTGATTAGAAATAGGTCATGGCCCATTGGCCCAGCAAATCAGTGAACTGCTATATTTTTTTCCATTATTAATAAACAAATTAGTAGGTAAAGTCACTTCTATAAGCAAATCTTATCATAAAAATGAGAAACAGCCGCAGCTCCACTTGGTCACCCATCAGACCGATCATTTCTATTGACACACACAACAGAGTGGAATTTGAAGCTATATAACTTGAAATTTGAACATAAACCCATGTATTTTTAAGCAATATAATTTCAAATTTGAAGATAATATATGAATATATAATCCTGACACTATATAGTTTCTAAACTATGGTTAGAGAAAAAGTGTTTTAAAGCTATCCTGGGAATCCAACCTGAGCACAACTCTATTTTAAAATGTCTTTCTTTCACTGGTGAAGCAGGTAAGCCCTCTCTTGACTAGTGCTGGTTCAAACAAGTTAAGGGGCATTTGTAGGCTGAAAGCAGCAAGACCTTGGGGTTACACAGCTTTAATAGTTAATTCTGTACTGCAGATATGAGATATAGTGGAGATATAAGCAGTCTTATAAAGATACTAAAATWAAGATAAATAAAACTAAAGAAGGTATTATGTAGAAGAGAGAAATTATTAATTAATTGCCTCTCAGGAGGGGAACACAGCAATTTTTTCTGATGTGGGAAAGATACTTGATTTACCTCATGATAATACTGTTCAYAGATGTGAACTCTCAATGATAAAAATCAGTAAGATTTTTTAATGTGCAGGTTTTTGCATAAATCCACACATGCACTTCTCTTCTCACAGTAGTATTAAATGTGCTATTTTGCTAAAATGAGCAGCTGTGGTTTTAGTAAGGGGAACCCTCCTAAATCAGGTTTGACAAGGGAGCCAGTTTAAAAAAGGGATCCTTCCCTAACTGGGTGTCGTAGTGCCAGGTTACCCTACCTGGGGAGGGACTGCACAGGAGAGAAGAATRTCTGGTGGGTGGGGGAGAAATGTGTTAACAAAACACTCTGATACTGGCTTTAAAACCACGTTATTCAACATTTWTAAAAGTGGGTAAAATGCTTAAATGTCAAATGTTGTAAGTATGGGAAGTTTACGGGTGAAAAGTAGACCCCAAAGTCTTCCCGTACAAGGGGACTTTTTTCTCCAGTCTCATGATTCAAAGGCTGTGAGTCATGATTTGGGGACTTTGGACCTAGCAAAGTTTCCCTGTCCTCCCTGAGAACATCAGAGTTCAGCTGTTGCAGGGCAGATTTATTCTCTGGTACCTTCCAGCTTGTGTGGAAAATATCCCAGAGCCAGAGGAGTGGCTCCATGGAGGAGAGGCATCAGGAAAAATTCCCATAAATTTGAGGCTAAACTATAAAGCCTGTCGAGACAAAAGGCTGAGGAAAGTGTAGGTGYTGGAACAGTGGCAGTGACAGTGAACAGCTGAGTGTGGCTCTGCTTCACAACCTGTTCTTCACTCCCAAAACCATCAGGCACTCAATGACTCCCTAAAGCTATTGCAGTTTAATTGGTAGTCTTGGCAGCAGGGGCTGACTGTATATGGCTTCTGTTAATTAAGTGGATCATTTGGAAACCCAACTGACCAAACTTTCTTGCTGGCTCGTTCTGGAACTAAAAAGTTTTAGAAATGGATGAGAGCTGTGATTCCCATTCCTCTCTCTCCTGCACCAGCGTGCTCATGGATGCTGAAGCACAGCCAAGTGATGGCAGATTTAGCACTAAGAGCTTACAAGTGGATGGATACTGCTCTGGACTCCTGAAAAAGCAGTCTGGGATGTTGGAGAACAGGCTGGAATATCGGGGACCAGGCTGTTTTAACAAGATGAGGAGCTTTGGCTGTGCTGGTACACTGTTAGAGCTGAGGGTATCTCATTGCCAGGAAAATCTGACTTCAAGTAGCAAACAAAGAAGCACCGAGACCCATGTCCAAACCCATGGGTGTACCCCTTGAAAAAGAGTGCTCTGTTATCCTGTAGACTTTAGGATTTCCCCAACAGGTTTTTATGGATATTTTCCTCCTTATTCATGGCCTGCAGGCCTTCAAACAGACTCCTRCCAATCCTTTGGCACCTGCAGTTAGAAACACACTAAGAGCTGCAGRAAGGCCCAGTCTAGAGCTATGTCCAGCCCAAACTACTGTGACTCAAAGTCATCTCTGGGGTGGCAACTCTTCACTTGGAGTTGCTGGAGATTTCTCACCCTTCAGTGAATGCCAGGAGGTGGCCTTGTGTGACACCTGGACCAATGCAAGTCACTAAGAAAGGTCTCCAAGTCCTGAGCAAGCAGAGGACAACCACAGCCACCCCATGGCCAAGAGACAGACTTGTTCCTGCTAGGAGGAGCATCATTTGCAGACCTGTGAGGGTGGGATCTCATCACCTCCCGGGCAGGCAAGGTGATCAGCCTGGCAATGGCATGGCCAGGCCTATGGCTTGTGACATCCCTTAGTCAGAACCTCTGTGCTCCCCCAAGAGCTGCCACACGAGAACAGGGCAGGGTTGTAGCAGAGTTGGTGTGAGTTTTAATGGCCATTCAGTYATTCTACCTTGGGTAAGCGGCTTTGTTTGTCTAAAGTGGCTGTGGATGGTGGCTGGCCAGTGGCTCTGTTTGTTTCCCATGTTTTGTTTTATTAGTCGTCAAGGATTTTGTCTGACCAGTGTGGTCTGTCACTGCTGAGCCCTGCCCAGAGTTRCTGCCCTGGTCACTTCCTGCAGCCTGTGATCCCCTGGGTCTGTCTTTCCCTGTATGTGGTCTCCATTCTGCCACGTTCATCCCTGCCTTTCACCATCCTGCTGCTGCTTTTCCTCCCTCTGTCCCAAGCCTGTGGGGTTTTCAAACTGCTGCTGTCCCAGGAGAGTCACAAATGGTGGATCATTTACAACTCTTCTGTTGCTCAGGTTCCTGAAGTCAGCGGATGCTGGCTCGAGGGCCAGTGTCCAGGTAGTGATACTTGCAGAGAATATTTATCCATAACCAAACACATCTGATCAAACTCCCAAATTCATAATCTTCCCCTCTTCCTGCACTGACACTTTCACTGCCATCATTACAGTCACAGGGATCACAGGCTCCTTCTGCATCCCCACATTGTCTTTGTCTCTTTCATCCCTTTGAAATTCCCCAGTCAGAGCATAGTTTAACTGTGCTGCAAAGAGTGAGCATGGATAGGATGGCTTCTCTTTGCCAGGCGCAGGAAAATGCAAAGATAGAGTTGAGTTTTGACCTGTGACAGCAGATTAACTCTCCCCAATGGGGGTCTTGCGTGGCCCTTGTGGGTCTGCACAGAAACTGCTGTGACGTGGGAGCTGCACTGCTGTGGTTGGAACATCAATGCTAAAGATGTTGCTGGGGAAATACAGAGCAAAGGGTTGTCCAAAATAACTTCATGATCTGTCAGACTTGGGCTCACTGACATAGTGGCTGTCGCTGACAAGTCTAGCTAGCTTCCTCTCAAAATTGTTTTACTTTTGTTTAGAAGTGGATCTGCAAAGCATTGCCACAGCCTTCTTTACTTGAGCAATCCTATTTTTAACAGAACACCAATAAATGGTATTTAACAGTGCTCTGAACTCAGACACCAATATTTCCTCCTTCTCCATTTGCTATGAAACAGAATTTCTTTGTTCCTTTTTATCCTAAGATTTGCTCTCTAATTGGAGAACCTCCATTGTCCTTTTTGACATCTAGGTGACCTTCTGTAGCTCACGCCAGTAGCAGGGCTTTCCCCTCAAGACTTTAGATACCAACAAAAGCTGTGATGCTCAAAGATTCCTCTTTGCATGTACACACATCTCTGACGTCTCTGTGAGCCCACTCACTTCTGCTAAATCTGTGGTGTTTTGTCTGAATCCTCGTCTCTGATCTCTTCTGSCTCTTTATGTACCCACCACAATGAGCATCTCATTCTTTGCTGGCACACTTAGGGTCTGCCCTGGAAGTTATTGATGTAAAAATCCCAGTTACTAGATATTTCCCAAAGTGTCSTGACACTTGACAGCAACATTATTTGTGTGATCATGGTGAGGCTGTGAGATCAGTGTCTCCCAAGAGGCGGCAGATGCTGAAACCTGAAAGAGCCATATTCAGTTTCAGGCAGAAGTCTGTACAGACAGGGTGCTCAATTCAAGCTCTATGATTTCTTCAAATGTAATGTCCTGTGCACAGAGTGGTGGATAACTTCTCAGAAGAAAATCAGTCTTGCCCATTACTCATTAATAAGCAGAATAAGTGGTTTTGTTTTATTTTTGTTGTTGTTGTTTTCCCCCTACACTTCTCTACACCCACARTGAAGTTACTGGAAGTTAAAGAGATGCTGGTTAAGAGGCTGAAGCAGATCTAAATAGGATTATGAGAAGGACAGGAACCCAGATCCTCTTTGGTCTTTGGCAAAGTCCTCAACTCCCAAAATATACAACCAAAAAAAAAGTTAATTTTAACTCGGTCTCCACATTCCTGAGTGCCAGAGATCAACAGTGCTGTGTGAATAAAATATGGAGTAAAAGAAGGAATGTGGTGTATCCAATTAGTCACTATAGACCAGCAGGTTAACTTGACAATTAATGCCTGCCTTGCTTTTCCAGCAGAGTGAGGATGAGAGGAAAGGGTGGGTGTGAATTCTCCTCAAAAGAAACCCAGCATTCATATTTCTATTATAATTCTGTATTCATGGCTCATGCACTGCTGTAATAGCTAAAGATAACCTCACAGCAACCTGTATTCTGCCAAAATCCTTCTATCCTCACAGCAACCTGTATTCTGCCAAATTCCTTCTATCCTAATCATCATCTATTCCTGACTGGAACTAAAGTTGATTTCTAAGAGAATTCGTATTCTATAGGAGAAAGAATTCATAAAGTAGACTTCATGAATTAAGGTAGGAAGGACTTCGTCCACTGCAATTAATTAATACAGACCCAGCAACTGCATCAATCACATGGAGATTTAGACTRTGGTGAAACATCAACACAATCTGCATTTCTTGAGCACAAGCACACGGCATGGAGAAACAGAGACCAAAACAGAACAAAAGAAAATGCTGCTCTATGGAAGCGATGCTTTGAATCAGAGATGGAGCACTTACCTTTCTTGTCTTTCTTTTTTTTTTTTTTTTTTTTAATTTTTTTCCCTGGTTTTCTCAGAGGAGATGATGGAATGCTTCAGCTCGTGCTGTGCTCACAGGCTGCTCTGGCAGAGCTGCAGGAAGTGGCTGAGGTGCCACATGCAGTTGTAAGTGCTGTCTGCGAAAAGTTCTGACCACAACTTMGTCAGGCTCGCCCAGTGTGGCACTTTCAGCTGGGTGTGCACTGAAAAGCAGAAGCTTTTCTGCAGAAACACCTTGGAGGAAAAGCAGCCATAAAAGGGAAAGTGTTTGTTGTCAAATCTGTCACTTGTACASGGGTGGAAGGTTGCTTTTGTGACTGCCAGACAATGTTTGGGCTCCCGTTCTGGGCGTGCACCTTATTCACCGTGCAAATGTGCCCCAAGGGAGGGACAAGGGACCSATGGCCTTCCCCAAGCCCTGGGGCTCCTCAGGGACAGGATGCCTGAGGGAGATGCTTATCCTGTGTTTCTACAGTGGAGGCAACAMATGAACTCACCTGAATATGTGTGAATTGGCTGGGTATTGAAATAGATGGCAAACAATATTAGAGCCCAATAAAGGGAGTGGTGATAGGAGGGAGAGCCTATTCTGGTGCCAGCTGGGATAGAAAAGGCTGAGAATGCTGAAGAAAATTCGGTGTTGGTTTGAGCACCTCCAAGAAGAATTCAGTTGCAGGAGTTCCTTAATAGCAAAGGGCATTGATAAGAAGGAGCATATGATCTTTATTAAGTGTCCTAGTTGAGGCTTTATATGAAGGAGGAAGAAGATCCCAGTGTTGTGTTGCCAGCCCAGACCTTGTTTGTGAGACCTGATCCACGTGTTTTTGCAGATGATACGTGTCACTCAGTGAAAATCAGTTATAACTGGATTTATTAAGTTTTCAGGCAGCTTCTCCATCAACTTCTACCAATTCCACTTGCAATGAGGTTCTTACAGGACCCCACTCCTGCTGCTGGAAATGGAAAATGTGGGGCTGTCAGTTGCTAAGGTTTTTGATTCACTGGTTTTCCAGCATGTGATGGGTGGGATGACACAGTCAGATTCCTTCTGCTCAGTCAGGCTTCATTAATTTTTGCATCTCCCATCTGTATTGGAAAGCCCTTTTGCTTTAAGTTTCTCTGGTTTTGTGAATGGTGTGTAGAAATTTGGCTGTTCTCCTTTTTCACTGGTGCAGTGATGTGCTGTGTGCCTCAGGGGTAGAAATCTGYTGAGCTGAATATGTGACTGATCATGGCCTCATCAAGAAAAGSTCTCTCACTCTGAAGAGAAAAGCTCTATCAATTTTGACAGTCCTACCCCTCCATGCACTGGGATTAATATGGTCCCTGTCAGGAGCTCATGGCAGAGCACAGCTGGCTGTCACACAGAGCTTCTGAGAGACCTTTGACACCACTGGGGCAACAAGAGCTTTGTCCTGTGTATGGTCAGAGTGGAGAGGTGCCAGTCTGTACCTTGGGCTCCTTGGGTGGGTTCTAACAGCTCCTTTGGGGTCCCCTGTGCCAGTGGCATGGTTGAAGCTGACACAGCGAGCGTGCTGCTGCAGCTCAGTGGATTTTCCTCCACGCTTTGAACTCCATCTCTAAACCTGCATGTCCCCAGACATCCCAGCCCATCCACTTTGTCCTTTTGTTCAGCTCCAGCTGTTGGAATGAAAACTGGAAACATGAATATAGTGAGTTAGGAGTCACCCATCAGTATCTGCCACGCTGCAGCGCTGGCTCAGCTCAGCTGCTCACGCCGCACGTGCAGCCTTGTGACAGATCTGTCTGGCGCTTTTCTTCTTRTGAAATTCTCTCCTTATTCTGAGAATCTCTTAACACCCACAGGGGTGGAAAGGTTACAGTTGTGCATTGGGAGGAAGAGGGTGCGGTTCAAAGAATACTAATTTAGAGATTGTTTTACAAACTCAATGCAGCAGTGCTGGGCCAACGCCTGAGATCGGTTTAACCTTCACAGATTCAGAGAGAAGTTCAAGCTGTTTTTGCATCTTGTGAAAATAGCTAACACAGCTACCCAGAGCTTTGTGCTACTGCAGAGCTCTTATATTTTTGGATATTAAATCTCAGGTTTATATAAAAACTGTCAGCCAGGGAAACAAAGTAATAAAATTCATCCATTCAAAATCCTGATGGAGTAGAGTGGCCGAAGGACAAGGAACTGACATGCACAGAAGGGCCTTGGACAAACCTGGGGAGCAGATAAACCAAATCCCGCTCAAACACTACCCTAAGTGCAAATGCTATTGTTGCATTCCCCTTAGCATCCATCAGTTTGTTCTGCAGCCAGGCTGCACCCAGCAGAGTTTCAAAGTGCTTTGGTGTTTACATTGCATGAGCTCCTCCTGCTGTGCTCATGGACCCTGTCTGCCAGCTCTCCATGGCAAAGATCCCTGCAGTCCATCTTTAGGGCTGCCCCCACCCCCCAGAGGTGGGTGGCTTTAGGAAGCTGGCACCCTGCTAGGGGAGGATGTCACAGGCGCCTGTGGGTGACCCTGGGGCACCTTAGAGAAATGCCGCAGACAGGAAAGCAGGAAATGTATTGCAGAACAGAGATAACATAGAAAAGAATGCTCTGTGAATGGTTTGATTTACTGATTTACATGTACAGGGACCGCCATGTAAGCACACAGGAAAAGGAAATGGAACAGAGGAGGAGGGGGAGGAAAAAGGCAAGGGGACAACAAAACAGGCTGTCACATTTCATTTCAGACTTCATGTCCTGGGTTTTCTCCTGAGCATGGTGTGTTGTGGGGGTCTGTAATCACACATGGACACTCAGGATTATGAGTCCTTTGGTTCAAAAAGATGTGTCTATTTATCAAAATGGGCAATTTGTATCACCTTGGGGTATTTCTCCTCTGGGAATTCCCTGATGCATACATCTGGAATCATCCTGGGCATGCCAGCTCTTATCTTAGAGCAAACCAGTCCCTGAGCCACTGATCTGAACTTCAGCTCTTCGCTGGAGGAATCACAGAGGGTGGAGTTGTCARCCCTGCACACTGTTGCTCAGATTTTTCCAAAAGCCTCTTTTGCAAGAAGACTTGAGAGGTCTCTGTGACTTCCTGTGGGGTGAACCCTCTCGTTGTGAGCCTCAGCCAGCAGTGGGATGCACAGCTCCTCGCAGCAGCAGCTCTCTCTCTATGGCCATCAGGCACGACCTCTGTGCACAACTGATTTTTGTGAGCCTTTGCCAGGTTTTTGTGGTCCACCTGACTGGTCCACAGCCTCAGTGGRGGAGCTCACAGAGCTGGGCAGGCTCTACTTTGCAGTCATTTGTTCCTTCTTGCAGTTCACTTCCTTTGTGTCACTGACCTCCGGTGGGGAAACTGAGGCTCATATGTGGGGGTGAGATGGATGATGATGGCGCTCTGCAGTGGCCTGGCCATGGAACCATCTCCTGCATTTGGATGGTTACCTCTGATGCCTTTTTTGAGGCATCTCCTCTGAGTCTTGGAAGGTGCTGGTGGGTGTGAAAGACCCTTTCCAGTCTCTGCTGGAATCAYAGAAYKSAATCACTTAKGTTGGAAAAGACCTYCAAGATCATCCAGCCCAACTGTTCMCCCAYAGYCAYCAGCTTTACCACCAAGCCATGTCCCTAAGTTCCAAAAACAGCACATTTTTTGAACACTTCACTCAAAGTGTTCAACAAATGTATTGTTAYAAGCAACTTAATGGTTTGAAGAAAGGAAAGTGCCTGGTGAAGGTAGGAACCTYCAATTAAAGTGAAAGATTTAGTGGATTTTATTATGTATTTTGAGATAATTTGCTTCACTTTTTCTCAGATAAATTCCCTGATACAGTCTGAAAAAGGAAGTATGGTCTTTCTTGAGATTTCTGGGTATGTTTTCATACCAGGGAGAAAAAGTCCAAGTTTTTCCCCCTCCTTTCCTACCAGTTTTTCAGATCCTCCTACTGCATCATAAAGACAGAAGAGAAAACAGAGACATCTACTGGAAATTGTCCTTGAAAACTCTGGCTTTTGAGCTCTGGCACAATTTTTTTTTCAGTATAAATAGATCTTCTATAAATTGATCTTCCGATAGACACCTGGGATTTTGTTCTGTGTTCAGCAGTTTGCTTTCACTTAAACCATGAATTTACAGCCTCATTTTCCAARCTCAGTTTCCACACCCTCCTTGGTACTAGGAAGGTACTTTTTGAAGGTTCACTTGTGAAGTGAGCATATAAATTGGAAAGATTCTTCAGCATAAAAAAAAATCCCTCCCATCATCTTTTCTCCTGACACTCACAGCTTCAATAATTTCGTAAACAAAATTACTCATGGAAAGACAGATGGTGAAGCTTCACCTGGTGCTGGGGTGGCACAGACACATTTTAGCACGTGACACTGGGGATGGGAAGTCTGTCTGTCTGTCTGTCTGTCTGTCTGTCTGTCTGTCTGTCTGTGGAGTGTGAGAGTGATACTTGTGGTAGATTTTTGGAGTTTGCAGAGTGGAAGCAGGTGGACCTTGACACCACAATCTCTGCACTCCAGGCTACAAAGATGTGGGATTTTTTGCATGAAACCTCTGTGCAGCCAAACCTGYGGGTTTCAACATTTTAAGAAATGCAAATATTTTATGATTCTCTGCCTGCTTTGGTGGCATGTGCTGTCAAATAATGGGAAGAAAACAGATATAGTTCTGGACTCATCTTGTGGTCTCTTTTCATTAATCTCATTTCTGTCTGAGTTTTAGTTTTCTCTGTTCAGAAGACAGCTATGGATTCTTTTAAAGACTTCCTTTGCAGATATTTTGAGATGAAGCAGCAAAAAGATACTATTGCACAAAGAGACACAGGTGTTATCACAAATGAAAAGAAAAAAGCTATGGATATCTAGTTAAAATAAGACATGGAAATCCCAGAATTTTCCAGAAACAAATGCCAGTGCTCCCACTGATGTGACTGAGTGAAAGTGTGCTGTGACAACATCACTACTCAGGTCCCAGGCAAACAGRATCAAGGGCAGGAGAAAAGCAGACCAGCTGCAGCTTGTGGAATATTCACAGCAAATACAGGGGTGAAAGTAAAGTGGGTCTTGGTGAGTTCCTAAGCACAAAAAAAAACCCACCCCGAAACAAACATAGTCATAAAATGAGTCTCCTRTTCCTCTGCAGAGGCCCTGTCC